CCAGATCCGTAAATTTATGTAACGAGTGTTATTACAGTAATTGTGTTTGATATCATCTATTTACATCGACCGTTCTTAATTTCGTGTTTTTGGAATGCGACCGATGCGAAAGTTAGAATGGAGGTACTCGGTGAATGAAAATGGGTTCGAACTTGCCCAAAATAAGAGTTTAGTTCTAATAAAATTTAAGCGCTTAAGGCATCTGATGAATATCAATGCTAAATTCCCAGCATCTCATTAAAAAATTATGTAAAACTGTGATAAAATTTTAACTTTTTTCAATTTTAGTTGGCATACAGACGGACTACCACGAAAAGAATAGCACAAAGATCATCAAAGCTTGCAATTGTCAATTCTATTATCACCTTATTGTTTAAGTTTGAATTTAGAACAAACAGTCCTCTTCGAACACTGATAATAAAGTGTAACGATAGGTCTTTCACCCTAACGCATAAATTGGTATGAACGACAGACCAAGCGCGGCAATTTGTTGAATCATGATTGATCATCAAGATCAAGTATTATGTTAGAAACGTCAGTTTCAGAGTTTGGTAAAATGATTAATGAATCTCTGAAATACAAATTTAACGTAATAACTGTAAACACATATAGAAGCCTAATGAACTTACTCTCCGTGACATTTAAAAATTGTGTTGGAGAGTTTAATCACTGCGTACGAATTAAACACTATTCTTCTTTTTGTATTAATCAATCCCAAGGTTAATATATCATTCGTTCATTTTTATACTCATGTTTTTTCGAAAATCATCCTCGTTGTATTTCGTGTACCTTCGCAAAAGTAAGCTAAATTTTTATCGTATGCGCATTTTATTAAACTCTGTGTTAAATTGTATAGATAAAACCACGAACACTATTGAATTGGAAGTCTAAGCTTTATATGGCCATGTGATTTATAATCGTTATACGCTCAGAATAGAAAGGAATACGTGCGTCACTATCTCGGAAAATACACCTGTTGTAGTTTTTATCCTTCAATGGACACGGGTCAACCGAATCCTGTTAGCGATCAACAGAAGTGAAATCCAATTTAAATTATGTTTAAATAGACTCGGACTGCGCTATTTTTCATCAGCATTTGTTATTCAATCTTGAACGTTTTTTGCTTTCAACGAAGTATTTATACTTTTCAAGATCTAATATTCTTACTAAGATTTATATTCTGTTTGCTATTCTTTACTATAGGCAGGTCATGATTGGATTGATCTATTAACTTGACTTCTGCCGTTTGTAAAACTGAAATCTAAGGTCTCCCACAAACATAGTTTAGTCGAATTTGGTTAAACCAGCGAATTGGGTAGCATCCAGACAGACAAGCAGAGGAGTCCCAAGACGGGTGCGAGAATATAGTGATGGTTGTATCGTGTTAGTAATCGTATTAGCACACCGCACATGTAAAAGTGATTCCCTAGAGGCCGCTGTTTGGACTGAAGATGGAATCTTGCAGTTTATGAACTTGGCAACTTGACTTGTTTTGCAGTCGAAAACAAATCCATGTCATGATTGGTAAAATATACTTAGATGATTGAAAACTTTTATATTCAACTAGATTCCATCAAAGCATGAGCACGAATTAAAATGAAGTTGAATCACAAAAATCACAACTGCGCATGTATGCAGTTTGTGGTTAGGATGCAAATTGCCATATTCGTGCCCTCTTTCCCCAAGGAAATTCTTGAGTTGTCAAAAAGGGTGACATAAAGGTCATCGAAGTCTGCTGGATGACTATTCTATTTGTGATAGCATAATTTAATTTAACTGATCTGCTGAAATCGAGCACAATATTTATATATATATTGGAGAATTTGAAAGCTGCTCAGGCCTTTATGTTGCGCAATCACAAGACATTCTCAATTTTCACGTACAATGCAAAGACGATTTGATAATCAAGGTTTCAGAATATATATTTTTTCAAATGACACAATATTTTATATATCGAATGTTGTACTAAAGAAGCTTATCAGTCACCTACGTCGTTTTACGATTTCGAAGCTCAAACAAACGTTTGCCCAGGAGTTGGTCGTAAAATCGAATCAAAAAATATTAAGTCAGTCACCTCATAACGGAAAAATAAAGGCCACGTAAGGCCCATCTATCAAAACATTTTTGACAGGCAGTTTAATATTTTTCTTTGTATTCCGAGAAATTTGGATGATATTATTCCAAGGCTTTACGATCTTTTTTACGAGCAGCAATGTACACACACCTAACACTTTGCACTCAAAGTGAGCTATTATGAATTTTTTACAATCCACATGTTCTGTTGGACGAGATATTATTTTGTATTCGATTGATTTTCTATTTCAGACAAGTAGATTCGAAATGTGTGAATCATATCTAGTGTCGAAAATGATTTTATACGATGTCATTCCGATAATTACTTGTTTTACTTTTTCCGATAATTACTTTTTGAGTGACCAAATTAGAATATATCTGCTGGTCGGTCATTACCGAGTGGAATAATTTATAAATAAATGTCACGGATTTGTCATCATTATGTCGTATTACATAATTACTTGTTTGTTTCACGTGTGTCAGTTTTGTCTTATTTTTTTTATATAATACGATCGTAATTCAGACCCAGATTTCAGACCCACGCGGCACGTGGCGATTGTCATACCGATCAAAAATTTGGCACGATGATATACTGTAGTTGAAGCTACCTTGATTATATGGCACTTATCATATCTACATCGCGCTATCCCACCGCAGCTTTATGCTACAGTCGTTCAGAGGTCACGTGCTAAAACATTGGGATAGACATCGGAAGTTCTATTCGTTGTTGATACCTTTTAGCTGATAGAAAATGAATCCATGATGTATTTAAAATATATGTACACACTGCACGATAATATTTTTACTTCATTTTGGTATTCTATATATCCGAGTTTAGTTATACGTACAGAGTCAGGTTTCCTTAAATTTCAAAATTACAGTTTCCCAGTTTTGTTGTGGATTCTTTTACAACTTTTTATTTGACTACAAAATTGAATAGATACCAAATTGAAACTGTAATAACATTGCGATATACCCTAAATGTAACGTCCTATCATTTTATGCACGTTTATAAGTCCATGTCAGCTTTTCCCACAGTGAAGCATGGGAATATCCATCACCAGTAATACCAACCCCATCAATTGATTGCTTTTATTTATTTTTAAAATTTGTTTCATCGTTCTTGAGCATAGGCTACATTTAAAATTCACAAAATCCGAACGACATGGGAACATAGAACAAATTAGCTGTCACAAAGCCGCATCTAATCGTCATAACCCCATGAGAAAACATTCGGTCGCGATGAAGCAAGAACCTAGATTAAATCACTTCGTGTTGCCGAGTTTTATGAGTGGCCCATCATTTTCTAAAAGATAAATCCAAAATCGAATCAGTACTGAGAAATCTGTCGTTCTCGCTCAGCATGAAATTGCTTATTAACGGGCATTATCTCAGCGAAATCAAGAGATGTAATTGGTCTCGTGACGTCATCCAGTTTTCATCTCTCTCGAAATTCATTCGAGAGAAAGCAACAACTTTTTACCACGAAAACTCTCTTGTATTCACCATATTTCAGCAAGTATAGGACGTTAAAAAAGTTAAACGGAATTACGACTGTAAGCAATACACAGTTAAGGCTTTGCCATAACTATTAGAAAAAGTAAGCTGTAAAGGTTGTAGATTGGAGGTTATCACTTTTACATATAGCCAATAAGGTGGTGCATGACTGTATTGTAATCTTATTTAGTAAATTTAGTTAAATTGAGTTTGAATTCATTTGAATAAAATATTTTATAATTATGTACAAAAGAACTTTTAGGAAATCGTTGTTTTATGCAACACCGTCTCTCCAAATGTTTGTCTTCAGTAAGAAAACAGATGAGGTATATATCAGCACGAAACTAGCTAAGCTATTTTGAAGTCAAGTTAGATCTGATAGTTGAAATCAAATCATAGAAGAGGATTAATGTAAGCCCGTGCATTTCTTAAAGATTCTCCTGTAACAAATCTTGCCTCCTGTGCTTAATGGTTCACCAGAAACATGCTAGTAACTGCTAAAAATCTTATTGACTGTTGTGCCCCATCTCAATTCGGCCTAAAAATTCAATCATTTTAATACATTATAATCTAGTTGAATTTACCAATATTGCGATCAAAATGATCTTTGCACCTAATGTTCACCAGAATTCTAGAATGAATCCCAATGAGAACATGGATTTCCTTTTGCGTCGATATTTTTCTTTTTTTACAATGAGGCCGCGATAAATGCTGGCTGTACTGGTAGAAGGCAGGTAGGTGGTAAATAGTATTCGATCAGATTCAACTAGAATCAAAATATAAAGTAATGTTATATAATTATCTGAGATTATTATGAATAAAATTATGAGATCATGGTGTATGTATGTTGGCCGGGTTGTCATATACTCAAAGCAATTCCTCGCCTTCAAATTCATTTCGATATGTGTTGGTCCATATACGGAATCGTATATGGAATTTCTAGTATAGCCTTTGCGCTAATCGGACGAAACCAGTGTGTAAAATAATGACTTAATTATAGGTTGTTGGTCGGAGGTTATTATGTGAAAAATAAAATGAGGTATTGTATAGATGATGGTCTGTACAAGTATGGTCTGTGATTGAAATATTACTGCACAATATGTATTTGATTTTAAATCAGACTGTTGTTTCATAAAAGTAAATAGACAGACAATCCATGAAATATAAATATCCCATTGTTATTTTAGGTAACAAACTGCGGTAAAAAATAATTAGGACACAGAATCATCATTTTTATATATATTTAAATATATTATTGCATCGTTTTTCAGGTCATTCTAAAATTCATTCCGAGTGGTGGCAGGCGTATAAAGTAAACAAATGAACTCAAATACAAATGCATTTTATTGTTATGAGCTTTTGCAGGAAAGTCGCGGAATCTTTGTTAGAAAATGTTTCAGACTCAAATTTTCAACAATTTCTTTTTTAGATGGTTAGATGATGTGAAACGCCGCTCCAAACAGTTTGCAAACAATATCAATGTATAGTTTAAAATATCTACGTTGGATAATTGAAACAAAATGAACAAAATTGCGGAGTACAAGAGGGATCCTCGTGGTGACTTTAGTTCAAGATCTGAAACAGGACAATCGCAGAACGAGACCCGGTTACAACAGGATTGTTATTGCTATTGCCGAAAATGTACTATCGAATGCCCGACTCGGATAAAAGTATTCGCCTCAGAAGAATTATTCTCTCGGTCGAATATGGAGTGGAAAAACTGTGCCGTTTGTGTCGAGATAATCCAAATAAACATTGATAAAAAGCATAGCAGTATAAATGCGAATGAAGATCAGATTACTTCGGGTTATTGCTGTGGCTGTCGAAGTAATAGTACAAACCCTGAAACTGAGAATTGCCTATCTCCAACTAAAGTCATGACCTGCACCAATCGACAACTGGCTAACGATTGCTGTGTTCAATCGAAGTCTGCGCCTAATGACTTGTCAAAGTTCATGATAACTGCTCAAGAAGAATCTAACTTCCCTGTGGTATCCATGCCGACGATGGCTTATCAGGATTTAGTTGTGCAGACTAATGACGGCAACCGTTCAAGTGATATGCAGAGACCGCCTTGTCGGTTCAAATCATATGAACACTCAAGTCCATTGCCTCTTACGACATGTAATAATCTTCAATTCAATGGGGTTTGGTCGAAGCCAATCCATAAAATAGCGGTATGGTCCGATTTGTATGAACAATTTAAAACACGTACTTTGGCGCGCTTTCGGCATATGAGTGAAAATTCAACTTCACATTTGCGCTTTTGGACTATGAAACGTTCAAGAGAAATCACTGCCTTATATTATCTAATTTTATTGCTTCTTATCTTCACCTCGGTAACAAATGCAAGCTTTGCCGGACGGAGATACTCGACTCTCCGCAATTTGGGACTGAGGTTTCCGAGACAAAGTGGTTTTCGACATAACATTCAGAAACCACGCAACCAGCGATGTGAAGCAATTACAGTACCAATATGCAGAGACATTGGATATAATCAAACGGATATGTCACTTTCTATAACGAATAAGTTCACTCAACACGAGGCAGAGCAAGAGGTATTGTTTATTTTTTTTTCTTATATATATTGTTATTTCGAATATTAAATCAAATCTATACAAAATGAGTTATACGCATCTTAGATTTTAAATGTTTTAAATGTACGGATTACGAGCTATCATATTATAAAAAAGTTCACCATTAGTATACAAAAACGTTTAAAACAAAATCACAGATAGTAAACCTGGCTTTACTATTTTATTATCAATTTTGATTTGCCAAGTTTCAGTACTGTAGAGTAATGTCTTCCTCCGTGTTTTTGAATTATCTTAGGAGGCATTTATTTCTACCTATACGTTTTGAGCAAACCTATATAAGTACGCAGACTCTTATGCGCATAATATTTTCTGTCCGACGTTGCAAATTTAAGTTCTCATTATCTGGATTAAGTGGTTGGTATTGTTCATAAATAACAACTTTTCAAGATGCGACCTCAGGAGCACCCAAGCCCAGCACCATAAGCACAAGGCATCTATCATCTATTCTAAATTATACCAGTTTTACTTTGTGTTACTTTGCATCTATAATAAGCCTCAGATGAGGATGTCGCGAACCTCTCCCGACGCCATAAGCGCAAGGTACTAGTTGTATCAGTTTTAAATAACAAAACTTTAAACCTATGATAAGCCTCAAATGAATATGTCACAAATATCTATTCAAAATACGTTGCTAAAATTGTCATAATTTATATCTTCCAAACTTTAAACAATCAGTAACATGTAATTTTAATGCAATAGTATTCAGAGAAGACATTGTGACAATCAGAAATATAGATGATTTAGTCAAAAAATACCGCAAATACTGAAAATATCATTTTTATTTATAAATATGGGACAAAATATTACACATGTCATGAGGTATAATAATATAAATGTTCTTAGATTTAACTTGATAGTTTGTCAAATATCTTGACAATATCTGCGATATAAGCCTAGATTTTGCCGCGGGTCTATTGTTAGTGGGTTGTAATTTTGCGTTGATAACGTCTTGTGGGCACATATTTTGCATTAACATCATGTAGTACAAGACAAACTGTATCACGAGCCACAATCAAGTTTTGAAACTTGATTACCTGTTTCTAGATAATCTTAATTATAGGAAGTAAGGACTTGCCAACGAGATAAAATCTGTGTTTATTTAGGATGCGCACCGACATTTTGTACAATATATTAGTTTAATTATACCTATAATATTCGAAACGTGTCAGCTACCGTATAATACTTTGTTTAATCAAAAAGTTAAATCGCTGTTACAGATCGAATTTACGAAAGTAAACGGATGAAGTCAGTATTGAATGGGAAACAGTTCTGCGGATGAAAATTCACCAAATTAATGTTCTAGTAGCCTTTACCACGTAGAACGACCAAAATCATATTATTATCGTTACAAATATATTTTATCTCTTTTTTATCGATAGATTGTGTACATGCTAGGAATTTACCCGTAATGTATTTGGATCCTCCAAGTCTTTGAACATCTTTGTGCCCAATTTTATCCTCTATTCACACTTTATTTTATCGAAATAAATACCTAAATCGCAATCTGACGTCGTGACGTACGAATACTTGAAGAAAACTGGCAATAAAAGAGATCATTCTCTAGTCACATTATTCTCAAATTTAGCCATACCTAAATTAATTATTTGTTTAACTGCGGCATAGATGATGTTTTTTAATTTTTATTAGTTTAGTAACCAAAACTAATTTTCAAATAAATCAAATTCGATATCGGCTAATAGTGGGACAGATTCATTTCAATACCCGACAATTATTCATAATTGCCTATTACAATATTGTTTCAAACGTAGTAATTTAACTATTTTTTTTCTATTTATCAAAATGTAGTTAAAGCGCAAAATTTCCAACGTAAAATAATGTTCAACGCAAATATAGCTGAATATAAACTGGCGAAAAGTGTAATCTCGGGATCGTTTGCGGATTCATTTGGCGTATTTATGCATATTATTATTGATTTGTCAGAAGCCTAATACCCATAAATACCAGCAAATCCATGAACCTCGTAACTGTGCATTCTCTTATCATAATTGTTGAACCGCATAACAGATTTTTTTTAATGTTTCGCACGGAATGCTGATTTTGTTTCATACTTTAAAATAGTCAGCGCAAAGAGAGCTATTAATATTTTTGCAATTTGTAGAATGCTAATATTGTTCAAAAATTATTTCAAACCAGCATGTGCTTTGTCTACTTTCATTCTGAACGTTATTATATGCATAATTTTATACCCGGTCAATTTATGCTGTTAAGTAGGCTTGTACAATTTACATTATCTATAATGTCACGCAAATTTGAATTTCCTCAAATTACAAATTGACATAGAAAAATTTGAGAATAGCTGTGAAAATAAAAATGGTATTTTTATGTTCCATTTGATTTAAACTCAAATATAGTCGTATTTTTGGGTTGATAAAATCTGACAGAACTGGACCAGAATACAATAAATTCAGGTCGAAGCCATCCTGGACTTTCAAACTTCAATATTAAACATCGTTTATTAACATTGAAAGAATGTGTGATAATGGCCTCATTTTAATGAATACTGTGTATTCTGTGTTTAAACTCAACCGCAAATCCGAAACGGAAAGCCCAAAATGTGTTGTTTTACTTACGCTAAGACCCTTTCTTGGTAAATGTATATTTTGATATCATCTCCGTGTATGAACCAAGTTGATGGTGATTTTCTACGCTTGAAATAAGTTGAACAATCGAGCAATTGCCTTAATATTCTTCAAATTTTATCGCGATCAAACTGGATGTGATAGATGAGAATAGTAATGCTTTTATAGAAAAATTATTCAATTCAAAAATACCATACATTATTTCAAGTGTGACAAAGATACATCAAATATGGAAAGATCGATCGAAAAATAAGTCACGCATGTTAAAAGAAACCATCGGTTATATTGGAATGTAAACAAAATTGAAAGGTAAACAATGGTCTTGTAACGGAAGAGGGCCGAAAGTATGACAAACAATGAGAGCAATATTTGTAGATCGTTTTATAGAATGACAATAGGAAAAAGGAAATATATATCTATATATATTTACGAATTTTTAATAAAGCTTTGCACCAGATTATTTGGTGTCTTTGAAAATTATTAGTTTTTATGACACAAAAAAATAATAATAACAATTCACAGCTAAAACAAATGAGGTTTTTCAAATTTTTTGTTTTTGTTTTATATGTTACATGGCAAACATCTATGTTCTCGACATGGTTTGCCACTTCTTGATGCGTTTTGTCATGCATTAATTCACAAGAACGAGTGTTATAATTACGAGCTCATTTTGACCGTGATCTTGAATCATTGAACCGTGTCGTTCCGAATTTAATCGACTCTCAAGATGCACTTATCCACGGATCAAAATTAAATCAAACATGAAATGAAATGGTCACATTATGTTCGGTGTGCGTATAACCTGGAGTCAATTTGTGACAAATAACTTTAGGGTGGTCGAAAATGGTTATGCATTGTGGTTATGCATGTTTTGAATACATCGTAATATCACATGTGCAATATGTACTATATTGTACAGAATTATTGACATTATGGTGAGTTCTCACGAAAACTTGACGATCGTTTATAAAACAATAAAACGAAAAATAATGAAATAACATATTCATATCCCGTTATTGATATGAACCTAATAAAATTGTATATCTTAAAAAAAAAATTCAAATTACATGAATACTATTTTAGAAAAAAAAAATGAAGTTATAATGAAATGTGCAATATTAATTTATTATTGAAAATTTAATATATGTTTAGTCTTCCCTTCATTAAATGACAATACATTTTTTTACTCACAATTACAAAACTATTTTTCTCTACTACCTGAATATTCTCCAACAATAATTGTTCTAAAATAAAAATTCGTTAATAAATTCTAAAGTCGTCGTATTTCTAATTTCCCCCTTTATTCTAAAAAATGTTGAATCATTTTTACAAACATATCTGCATATCCGCAATAATGGCAGCTCAAAAACTATTTCCTTGTTAATTACAATCGAATGAAAATGGAAAAATTACAACGAAAATTAGTTTTTCGATCACATATTTGGTCCAATAGCAAAATGTAGTTTTCAGCATTGTTAAGCAATTTTCCTAAAATTAAAGTATAACGATTGATTGATTTAACATATATTTGTAATTAGATACAGACTGTAAACATTTTATTTTCACACTTCGTTTACCCGCGAACATGGTGAATTGTGTTTGCACAAAATACAGGCGCCCACTTTGCAGCCTACATTTTTAGTTGGACTTTACGTTATATGGAATAAAGTGTTGATAGTGGTAACTGAATTAGTAGGAGTTTATTCCTCTGCACAAAACCTATTCTGTTTTCGATAAAGAGTAAATATTTTGTATTCGTATCAGTTTCATTTGAATGTTAATAAATATTAATAAAATACTTCATATAGACACCCGATTTACCACTTCGGTATGACAACACACGACACTGTTGTATTTACCTATAAACATAATAAAAACGCTTCCTTCGTCTTATATGAAATTCCTTTGATTATGCCGACTCGAACCGGCCGGATCGACATATAATTCGCAGCAAGTTAAATAAAAACCTTTCAGAATCTTACGCGTAACCAAACGGACGATGTCACGAAATGTCTTGTTTTTACAACCGTTTTCACGGAAACAAATTCCTACCGATTGGAATAATTAGGCTTGCCATATTGTGATAAAATTTGTGTAATTTACTGGCATTTTTGAGTTTCCATTACGGTGGTTTAAAAATATAGTTATTAAAAAATATAGCGATTAACATAGGTGGAATTCATAATTTCACAACTTTGGCTGTCAGGTTATATGCTTTCATTAAACAACTCCCAAGAATTACTAAAACATAGATTTTCCGATTCAAATAAATATACCTCTGTCTTCCGCACTGTTACTACATAAGATTGTCCATTGGCCGGATTTGTAGTATACTATTATGAACTTTTAAAGAGAGCGATTAGACTCTAGTTTAGATTAGGCGCATTTGATTGATGGTATTCGGATAAGACCGACACTTTCGTTTAGATTTCCTTGATTACGCAGACGACATAGTCATCCAGGTAAAGCCGGTGGTTTCCTGGTAAACTGAAATAATAGAATTTTGTTGTAAAACTATAAACAATAAATCAGAGCGGTTCATTCGGATATTTTTATTAATAGGAATTAAAAATTACTTGCGATTTTGTGTTTTTCAAATCTTTTTGAGGTTGGAAAAAATATATATTTATAACAAAATTCAGCAAAATTAATAAAAATATTATACAATGAAAAATATGGCAATCTGTTGATTTCAGTATATCCATACAAGACAGCTATATATCAGAATAAAATATTGAATTTGTACATTTCTATTCTTATAATATATTTATATTAGTTATTTCTCGGGCTTGTAAATATAAAAAAGTAATTGTCTTTCTTAATTAGTTTTGTTGCTTTTAACTTTCAGTTTCCAAGTCGCCATTATATCTGTTCAACTTTTGATCCAATCTACGAAAATTGCAATTGAATTTCACTAATGTCACAAACGCACAATAATTCCTATTTTTAGAAAAAATATAAACCATGTTTTCTAATCATGAAATAAAATAGTGTGTATAAGAATAAACATATAAATAGAAGTTTTGCTTCGTATTAGAATGAAGATCATTTTCTGGGACGACTTTTCCTAAAGATAGTTGTGTTACAGACTTATTCCAAATTGAATCTATGTTCATTTTTGGAAAATGTCGCCAATTCCCTTAGTCAAATCGTTAAGTGATATGCTTAACCGGTGGTCTGCGCTTTGATTCATTTTTCCATGTAGTATGGTCTCAAGTGGACTGTAGAAAAAAACAGCGAGTGAACAATCAAACTCGTGTAAATGTGATGTTAAATAGGCACTTCTTATAGCAGTCGTAGAATACTGATATACTAAGTTGTTGAACATACTCGATTCACCGCTAACTTTTCACCAAACATAATTTTTAGAATTTTGGGCTTGGCCATTATCCTAATTACAACATTCTGAAACTATAATTTTGTTCTTGGTTTTTTTAGCAATAATATCAATGTTGTATGAATCTAATATAGTAAAGTTAATAAAACATAATATGTCGTTTTTGGGAGAGCTTTGTTCAAGAATAAAGTATAACGTCCAAAATTGTTTGCATGTTACAACTCAAGTAAAATTGTTGTCTGATTCGTAACCCACTAATTATATTTATATATTTTTTGTAGCTCGCACCTTACACTCCATTAATAAATTGGAATTGTTCTGCAGAGTTGAAATTGTTTCTTTGTTCGATCTACACACCGATATGCATGGAACACTACGGACATTTTCTCCCGCCTTGCAGGTTTATTCCTTATTTATTTATTTTTTCATTAAAAAACTATTTTAAGTAATATCATAGAACAGACTAAATAATGAAGTCGAGTGCCGAAAGTAAACGCACCCATTCATTTATTGTTTTATTTTATATTGAATGAAAATTATCGAGCTAAAAAATATGTAAATTAGCAACATCTAGTTTACAACCTCACATATTTTTGAGTGGTGATTAAGCAGAAATTTTGGTGATTATTTCATATTTTGTTCAATTTTAGCAATATTATTTTTGTTTTTGATTATACCCAATCTTGATTTGAACAAATCATAATAATGGAATAAATAAAGACATTGCATCTTAATCTTTTTTAAAGTGTTCCATGTCACTTTATCAAAAGTTATTGACTCATAACTTTTTTTTACCTGATAATGAAATTTTGTGTAATCATGAGCCGTAAACACAAACGTCTTTAGTGTCAGAAAATATATATAATTGTATAAAATTTTATTCAGATTTATTTGTGAACGAGCAAAAAAGGGCTGCTTGCCTATAATACATCACTATAGTAGTTACAAGTGGCCAGAAAAACTACGTTGTGAACAGTTTCCTACTTATGCAGGAAAACATCCAATGTGCATGCATTTTAATCTGACGCGAACAAAAGAAGAAGAAGCGAAAATTTTTAACTCTGGTATGAATATTAAATTTAAAATGAAGTTTGTTTTTAAATTAGACATTAATTCGTTGATTTATTTGTTCTATATACGAGTTTATTGTAAACGGCAAATTTAATTGGTCATATTTATACGATATGCAAGATTTTTTCAGAATAATTTAGAAATTAAAATTGACAACAATATAGGTTATGAGAAAACTGTCAAAATATATAAACTTGAAAAATAAAAAGACCATGGAAATATCCATACAAAATTTTAAATTTTATATATATTTTTTTCAAGAAAAATTAACGGAAGAAGATGTCAATAGTCCCAAGTCGACGTCTGAAACCAAAACGCGATTGACTACCCGACGACCACCAAAATCTACAAAAGCGGCTAAAACACGTGGTACCACACCATAACCAAAACTACGACAAAGCCAAGAAAGATGAAACTTACAACAACGACTGCAACAGTGAAAACAAATGCTCATGTTCATCACAGAAAGTTTTCGAAACCAACTATAGAAACTTCCGACATTTCTCCTGTCTTCAGTTCCGAACTCTTCTATGTGCACGTGCCAAAAGCCAATGGTATATATTAGAAATCCTCAAGACCCGATGTACAACAGGGTGAGTTTTGTTAATTTATGCAAAATAGTAAAAATCTTCAAAATTATATTTTTAATACAAACTAAGTATTGTCTTCATTATTTGCTCCATTATATTATTTATCGCTATAATATGAAATGTCTCTCATATTACAGTATGTAACAAATAGGTTTTGCAGCTTCCTAGAATTTGGCAGTTTTTAATAAAATATAAAATTTTGGTGTATATAAGATGGGCTCTAGCTTCCTATAGGGCTGTATTTTGTTATGACTGTCTGTCACTGACATCTACCATGTTGACATCTCTTCCACGTGACATGAATCCTATTACGCTACGGGTTACGCGCATGAATGGAGGACTTTAGCACTCATTTCCTAGACAGAATGCACTTTACATAAGATTGTCTATATATCGCATAGGTTTTCAATATGCATAACCCGTAAACCACATTCTTGACTTCCTGATAAAGTATTAGAAGACTACAAAAATCTGTCATCAGTCGCGTCAGATAACCAAATACGTGTGCTTTAGAAATTTGAATAACATAATACAATGAATATCTATCTATTGGTTCTATAGATTTACCTAACCGTATATATGGAAAAACAGATATTGAAAATCGAAACTTTTTATTCATTTCCAGCTTTTTGTAATTATTATTATTGTGTCATACAAAATAAAAAATTCATTGAATGCATTCGTCGAAAGAACGTATCGAATCTCAAATTATTTTTCGTGTTATCGTTATTTGAAATACTTTATTAATGGACTAGAAAACTATATTAATAGTCCAACATATCTTTTACTGGAATAGTTTTAAAAACAAAATTAATTTGGATTGCAATTGTCGTAGTTGCTCTACGTTACATTATGTGCCTCTTGAAGTATTTGCGACTTCTGTTGGATTGATTAATATATTACTGTTGAATGGCCAAGCATCTAGTTACTAATAAAATATCTAACTTTTAGTTAAACATAATATATATATATTATTTAGACGTGATCTATAGCTTGCAAAATTTCGAATTAAAATTAATCTCTATGACAAGGAGCAAAGAAAAATATACTTGTTTGTATTGGGCAGTTTTCTTCGTTGGTGGTCCGAAGAATTACTCATAGGTTACAAAAGTGAAAAAGCTTCCGTTTATGGCCTAAAAATAATGTCCTCTGTCAAATTTTAGAATATAACCAAAATTTTTTTAATAAAATTAGGAAAAACCGACCGTAAATAGGGGTTTGATAGAAGCGCAATTAAATTGGAAGTATTCATAACGCATTTATAAATATTTTATTATGAGTGATCAAAATATTGGAAGACTAGGTTGGAATAGCTTTAAATATTAACCTATGAGCTAAATTTGAATCAATATATCACCTAAAATGCACATACTTAGGTACAGTATAAGTAACAACTTGTTCCATAATGTCGTATAAAATTTTCAAAACAGTAACAATAAATTGTACAGAATAATGTCCAATAACTAATCGCATTGCCCGTTTGGATTTTCTTCATTGAATTTAAAAATTCCTTGTCTCAATGTTTTAATTACATCATTGGAAATTAAATATCGGTTGTAGCTTGTTAGCATTTGAAACAATTTCCTGCGTGGTGAGCAATTATTAGCACGAAAAGAGTTGATGGATGCTTGCAAATTTATGATTCTGACAACTTTAGTTGAACTTAAATTATGCTTTAATATACTACTACTATGCACGTCGTGTAAGAAATTCCGACGAAATGACCAAATGAACTAGGGTTGACATTAAATGCGTTGTAATAATATTATCAGTGAGTGCATGAAAGGGTTATTTTGTGGTTGAACTAGCATTAAAGTTCAAAAAAGTTGACCCTGATTGGTACAATAATTCAATAAGTAAATGATTTTAATAGTACATGACATCGTTACGAGCCTTGAATGTCGCCATTTTTATTTTGGAATGAATTAGGAATTTCCATGCAATTCATAATTTTTTAAATCTATCAATGTGTCTTCAACACTAATGTGTTTTAATCCTAATCAATTTATGTGTTTTTGTCAACAATTTGGCAAATCCTTCTCTGAATTGTATACAAAAAGCAAAATAAAAACAGAAAAAAATTATTTCTTTCTCTTGTGTTTCGAGTGAATTGGTTCAAAATCTCAATATACACTTCCTGTAAAAACAATCGCAATTAAGTAAATTATTACTTTAATTATAACCGCAGGGCAACTATTTTAAGCTATTGCACATTTTCTCACTGCCTTTGCACGCTATATCATTCCTGCCGAACGAAAACACAGATTATAAATTAATTGAAAACTACATACAATCACATATATTAAAACATCCTACACGTATTATTTATTCTAGCTCAAATTTTCGCTACTGAAAGTGAATTCGAGAGCGTTATGTTTATCTTTATAACATATTTTATTCTACAATTATATAAACAATATATTTTGGAATTGTTATAAGTTATGGAAATTTACAGTGCAAAAATGGTTTTCATTATTGACTTTTGTTATGTTTATGTTGGCATCGTATGCGTGAATGTAATGAATGCCATGATGCTGTATCAGGATTGAGTACAACAATCATTAGGTATATAAATCGTAGTCTTGATGCACACTGATACAAATATATTTTTATAATGTTTCGTCGGATTGAAGTTAGACTTCTAGGACATTTAGAAATCAAATTAATCAAGAAAATCAATTACATCAGAGACGTTCAATAGCCGGCCCGCGGGCCCCAACCCGTGGTGGTGTGGCCCTTGTCAACACTCATATTTTTCCCATCTAGCATAAAATCATTATTCGGCAGGTTTATGTTAAAAAGGCGCTCACATAGATAAAAATACATAATAATTAAATCTTACGCCGTTTTGCCCGGTGCATTTATTACCGTAAAGCTAAGCGATTTCTCTTGTCTTGTCTTTACCGCTAAATTTTTGGTGTGGCCCAACTTGATGTCTGAAGTTGGGTATATGGCCCACCGACGAAAAATGTTGCACACCCCTGCTTTACATGCATGCTATGTGTGTCTTCTACTATAGAAGAGATCGATAATATGATTTAAACCTTTAAAAAATCTACTTTTATTTATTTATATCAATATTCAATGTTCTTCAACATACAAATTATTATAATGGCCATAAGCCAAATTATGATTTATGTTTAATTGGCGCAAAATCAACTTTTGTGAGTTTGTTACTTGACTACATTTCCCCACCTGTTCTGGACATTTTGAAAAACACTTGTTGTATAAAACATCAGGCTTTTCATACATTAATATCCGACCGCAAAAACCGCGGTTTTGATATCCGCGAATTATTTTCCAAACTTCAAATTTGAAGTTCAATGCGCGACACCGCTATTAGGATGATACTATTAATCCAGTTTCAGTTTTAACAAACTGAAGAAATTATTTAATAAATACGTGGTAATTCAATACCAGAAAAGCGCAATAAGAATCTTGCTAGTTACATTATTAACAAAGTTATTGGCGATGCAGAAAATGCAAAGTATAACGTACAGTATCTTATATACTGATATCTATTTTTATTAGCCATGTTACTGTAATTAACATTGCAAGTTTGTTAATTTTTTGACAATTTTAATAGTGCAATTTAGATTAACCCCAACATATAAATAGCGTCATTAATTACAAGCCTGAGAGTCACTTGAATATGAAATCCACTCCAGTTATGTCTGAGCGGGCGCACTTGTCTTGTTGGATTATTTATTCAAATTTGGAAAGTGGATAGTTTTTATTTGTTGTAATTACGCAACAAAGTTTACTTATTTTCGTTTCGCAATCGTAGCATATAATATATATATATATACAGTATATATATATGTATTTCCCGGAAAGGGCTTAGTTTCTTTTTGTTTGCGTTATACTAATATTTTTATAAGTTCTCATATCTGAGTGACAAAGCAAATACTTGGCACAACTATACTATAATGAACCTAAAACTACAAACAGCTTTATAGAATCGCCAGTTTGGAATTTGGCCGCCAATCTCAAAAAATAGTTGAGAACTTTGTCTCAAAACATCGTAAATCACATGGATGAAATGTCTTTTAATCTATTTTGCTATTTTGTGACCATGAATAAATAATATATTTTTGTTCTGGCAAAATTTATTTGACTATATACCTCAACCCCGTGGTTTTATTATGAGTCCAATAACTTCTATAAAGTTCAAACCTGCAATAAATGGCGACATATAGCTTGATTCACTGTATTGTTAGGTTATAAGTTTTCTTATCATTGTTTAATTAATTACCGCGTTGTTCAAAAAAAGATAATTAGTTTTTATTTAAATACATTCAATATCTTTCGGTCGCCAATATTAAAACCATTCTACGTGTATGAAGTAAAATTGTTCTCGAACTTGGCAAAATATTATATTTTATTTGCAAAATTAAGAAGCCAGTTTTGTATACAACTATTATATTTACTACATGTCATAAATATTTATAATATTCAGTAATTTAGTCTAAAAGCATACGATATTTATAATTCCAAATTCCAGTGAGGAGAGTATGTGAATGCCTGAATTTTTCAAATGTGCATCTTTTCGGGATTTTCATTTTTTATACGAACTTTACATGCACGCGTAACTTTGTTTTAAATTGGGTCCCGTTACCGTGACAAATTTTAAAGCATACTCTTGATTTTCATTTGTTTGTTGATAGAATATAAAGAATACTTGTTTTAAATATAAGTTGACAAATATTGTTATCATTTGATGATACTCAGTCACAAAGAGTCGTTTATGAAATCTGGTCGAAGAAAACTAATTCATACAGAAATAATCAAAAAATAAATATTGAAACGGATATCGAAGCTTCAAAGTTCTCAGATAATGATATTGGTTATTGCGTAGAATGAATCTCGTTCGTTTGACAGTTTGAATACTTCATGTCAAATACTAAATTTTGACATCTGATATGTATCATTTTTGCGAATGTGTTCCAATGTCACTGTGATTTTTATTTACGGAACTATCTGTAAAATTTTACGCTATTTGC